ATATTCAGGTCGACATACCTCAATATGTGCATGCATGGCTCTAACGTCCTCAGTCAGAGGGAGCAGGTCCGGAGTGTTCCACTTGGCTTGCCGGAGGGTCTGTAGGGCAGCAGAAGAAACACAGACGTCCCACCTCTTCTCAAAAAGCAGCCGGCTTCGTTGGAGGTTTTTAATAAATAGTTCATCAACACAATGCTCCATTTTTGAGTCACATTCAAGAATATCTGCTAGCTTTCTGAGGCTATGGCCGAGTTTGAGGGCCAAGGATGGAGTCTTGTATTGATTTGTTTCCTCATCATATCCGCCACAGACCTGACTGCATCAATCACATGGTTAAAGTTGGAAGGAATAAAGAAATCCTTAATTGTTTTCAGTTTCCCTGCGGTTTTTGCTTCGTTAATTAACCTACCGACTTCTCTCATTTTCTGCCTAATGTAATCATGCTTTGTCTTATCATGCCCGTGTTTTAAGTACAGGTGCTCTCCGAGTCTCAGAATCCCCTTTTCTGCTTTGACAACACCCGTGACCTCATCCTGATGCATTGCCGAAATTAAAGACCACAGCTTTTTGCTGATGCCCTCCGGTACAGGCTGGGCTAGGGAGCAGAGGGACTGGACCCTACTTCTACCTGGTTTAGCCTGGGCATCTTTCTGTGAAAGCCGGCACCTGGCCACATGCCTCCACAGCGACTTTCGCTTAAGCAATGCCCCACAGTCTATACAGTGCAAAAACTCACTGGATTTAACTGGGGAATTTGGCTGTTTAGCTGGGACTAAAGTTCCAATGCCGGCCTTTAAAACCTCAAAATTGTGCTCACGGTTTCCACTATTCCTGATCAAATCAAACTGAAGTTTACGTGCTTTAGATTTCACAGGTAGAGCCAATGCTCTGGCTACGTCACTTTCATTTCCATGTTTTCTAGTCAAATGACGGGACATTTTGTGGCAGGACATTGAACAGTAGAGGCAGAAGTGTCTCTTGCTGTATACTCGCCCCCCATTTTTCTTCTTTTGCAGCTGCATGATAACAATCTTATTTGCCTTTGGTTCGTCACTTTCCGAGTCTTGAAGAAAAGTGTTTTTGATTTTTCTTTTTCCATACTTTTTTACAGGTTTCTTCTTGACAGTTAAATCGTCAGAAATCTGAGTCGACTTCATCAATTAGGGACTCTTGACTAAGCTGCACAAACAACAAATAATTTGTAATCATTCTATATAACAATTTGAAGTCATGACTTGTAGTCAGCACTTACCAGTGGTTTGTAAGCGTGCGCTTCAGTGTGCTCCTCCATGATTTCTTGCAGCCTAATGAACCACACACTTGCACCTTTTTCTAGCCTGACACCTGATTTCCTCTGTTGTGCTGCTCCATGATTGGCTCCAGCCTGCTGGACTGAAATTGCCCCAGTGTGCCCCTCCTTGATATCCCGCAACCCACCACCAGGGTTCCGACACATAACACACTTTTTTCAGGAAAGTAAACCTCCAGGGGTCCTTTCCATATTTTTACAGAGACTGCATAAGGACCGTTAGAAAAGCATTACCCATTGATTATTAAGCTTGGACCAGTGGGGTCCGGTGTTCGGGCCCCACCACGTAAAACCAGTCCCCATGACGTGAGTGGAATCTCAGGTTATGGAACCCACCAGGAGTTGAAAACAAGTGCACACACACACACACACACACACACACACACACACACACACACACACACACACACACACACACACACACACACACACACACACACACACACACACACACACACACACACACACAACCTTTTCTCCAGTGGAAGTGTGAGACCTGGAGCTCGCCTCCTCAGCCTGCGGCCTTCTGACCGACTGTTGTCCCAGTGAGTTTGTTGACGTACAGTTAAGTGGGTCAGGCTTTCGTAGCGCAGCTCTCTGTAGAGTTTTGCACCGGGGTTGTCATGGAAACATAACTGGTTGATTAAACATGTACCTTGGAGTAGATGGACGAACACCGCATGGCTCCGGGGTGAAAAGCACTGCACAGCAGAGACATACAGTTTTCTTTGTAATATCGGAATCTATGAATGGTTCTGCAGTTCTGTAATCTTGATTTGAATTACAAATAAAAATTATTTTAGGGTCAATTATAATAATATTAGTAACACCTTAGCACATAATGGAACTGCAATATAAGACTGTTCTGCCAATGAAATTACTAGTACTATACGGTGTCTTGAAATGATTCCACTATCACCTTCTATTTCACAATCAAGTTCACAAACAAACTATCTTGCTAAAAGGTTAAGTTATTTGTTTCCTCCATACCAGACAATTAGTATTAAGTGTCAATGGTTTGATGTATGCCAGTTGTGTCTGTAGGTTTATAGAGAAGTACTCCCAGGTCTCCTGACTTGACAAGGACTGAAGGATCATGGGGACTAGTTCAAAACACATCTATTTCACTAATATCTTAGCTCTCGTTAGTTTACAGAGAGAGAGAACTCTGAAAAATGAGGAATGTGTTAGAAAGTGAGAAATAACTGAACTGCAGTGATTGGTTGAAATAGGGATAGGACGAGACACAGACACCAACATTTTGAGGGGGACATAGTAAAATTGTGTGTGTTAAATTTTCAGAGGATTAATATTGTCAACTTTGGTCACATAATAGGCCTTCATGATTTATGAGAACTTTTTGAGGCTGTGGCTTCTTAAATGTAGAATTCAAAAAGGAGAAATTTAATTTCACATGAGATCATTTCATACATGTGCATAATCTTGCAATTTCATCTTATTTGTGAAATTATGTGGGATGACATCTTGTCCCAACCCTAGTTTTGACAATATTAGGACTGTAGGAAATTCTGCAGCAACCTTTTAAACCAATGTTTGTGGATTATGTGAATATCTGGCCGAGATCAGGCACGTCCCAACTGAGGCCTGTAGTCCGATTGGGCCCTGTGCCTCGCTAATCTGTTTACAGTGTCGAGTAACATTGAGATCATAAACAGAAGTTCACCATGTAATCAGCCAATTTCAGTTCTGCCCATATAGTCATGCTATACCTTGTTATATCTCTGGAATCTAAGTGATTGACCTCATTTGTACATACAGACATTTGCTTTTTCATTTTTCATTTCACACAAAATGACTTGGTTTAAAGCATAGAGTAGAAAGAGAGAACCCAGTCAAAACTATTTTACAATCAACATTGTCAGTCAGTGCATGTACTGTAGTATGGCTGATGTTACTGTGTTATCGCGAGATCAGTTAACGAGACTTCATACCAGTGGGGGAGGGTCCTAGCTCAAAAGTGGCCAAAATGACGTGCCCTGACATGCTTGCAATACCACCCCGGGCCGATGGGGGTGGACCCAGAAGTAGAATTAGCCAATGCTAACATGTAGCATTGGCAGACCTCTCAAAAACGTCTTTACAGGATGGACCAAAAGTTGGCTCTTGGCCCAAAGCTCCGTTCCACATGTGTGTCAATGCTGAGGGGGGTGAATTTTTTTGGTCCACTCTAGTTTACTTGCTGTGAATTTATTAAGTCTCTCGTTCAAATGAATGGAGTTGCACCAGCTGACGCATGCGCAGATGAGTTTTTTCACAATTTTCTTGTGGGCGGGACCACTCGCGGCCATTTTGGATTCCTCCAGTAGAGCACATTTTTTGGCCCATTAGTTAGAACGGCAGAGATAGGCGTGACGCTGTCCATTAATATATACAGTCTATGCTTCAGACTGAGAGAGAACAAGCATGATGAACATGAACGAACGTCCATCCATCCATCCATTTTCTTCCGCTTTATCCGTTGCCGGGTCGCGGGAGCAGCAGTCTAAGCAGAGACGCCCAGACTTCCCTATCCACACACACTTCCTCCAGCTCGTCCGGGGGGACCCCAAGGTATTCCCAGGCCAGCTGAGAGACATAGTCTCTCCAGCGTGTCTTGGGTCTTCCCCGGGGCCTCCTCCCGGTGGGACGTGCCCGGAACACCTCCCCAGGAAGGCGAACTCAATTTATTAACACACGTTCGTTCATGTTCGTTCAATAAATTGAGTTAAAGTTGAACTAAAGATTTGTTCATTTTCACAACAACACCACAGTGGACAAGAGGCCGGATAGAGAAGAAGAAAGTCTGACCTGGTTTTACTGCCGGTGGTAAAACATAAAGTGAAGGACTGAAGATTGTTACTTGAAAAGGAAAATTAATCTCACCAAATTAGTTCAGAAACATCAAGCAATTACTTGTGCATTATATGTCAGTATACTTTGAGTAAAGATGAACAATTATGATCTCTACATTCCCTGTAGAGGTGAACAAGTGGACCACCTGCTAACGGTGCTAATGCTGCTCTGGACTGTTCATACGGGGCACGCGAAGAGCTCATGAAAGATACATGTGTTGGCTTGTACTTGGGCTGAATTATAAATGCTCCAGTCACTCCCAGTCTGTTACCAAACCATTACTTCGCATACTGTACACCCACAAAAGGCTCATGGCACTCTCAGAATACAGGAGGCTCAGACCACTCTTGTCTCAGTATACATGCAGGCTCATACCACTCAGTATACAAACTCCAAGTTACAATGACTCAACATAGAGAAGGGCTCAATCATTCGAGTCTGAACATTTCCTTATCGTCTTAGAGAGTTGCCTGGAGAGTTGCTACTGGCAACATGCAGGTGGTTCTGAAGTCTGATGAGTGCGTACATCTAACAAGTGATTTACTTCTGTACTTCAATAGCCTGGACTCTGTTTTGTTTTATGTAGTATGTTTATGATTAATGTTAAAGAGGAAATGTTGGTGTTTTACTTATTGAAACCTTATAGACAGAGAAACCAGAAGTGCAATGGAAATGTGGCAGGAAAGGAAATTCTGTTGGCACTCAGACATAACCCAACTCTTGCTCATTTCAAAAAAACGAATTCCTGTTTTTGCTCATTTTATGAAAATCTGGTACAGTCCCCATGAACAAAGGCCTGGTGCTTTGAGCTTTGCCAGTGTGTAGAGCCAGCAGTTGAATGTATGACATCACTGTGAGTGTGGAGGTGGGGGTTCTGTGCAGGAGGGGTGGAGAAGGCGTGGAGGTGAGGGTTCTGTGGAGGAGGGGTAGAGGTGGGGGGGTTTGATATTCAGAGGAGCTCCACAGGCCTCTGATACTGCTCAACACACTGCTGTACACAGTTCAGATAAGAGCAGAGACGATGCTGTGAACATCCATCTCCCCCTTGTTATTACCACTGGACTGTGAGCTTCTACAATCAAGGTCTGACATACAGTTTGAGTCAAGATTTTGCAGATACAGTGGATAGGAAAAGAATTCAAGCCCCATGAACCTAGCAACATGCTGTCATGTCACAACCACAACCTTTAATATTGCCCATGTTTTCACTGCAAAAGAACACCACAAAGTATAATGAGTAGCAGTAGAAGTAGTAGTAGCATAAAAATAAATACTTATTACCCGATTTTTTATTTATTTTTCAAGAAAGTAAATACGAGAACCTGTGCATGGTTTGAAAAGGGATTGGTTGAAGCCAATTGGACCCAATCCCCTCCCATGTCATTCAGACACATACTAAAATACAATAAAACAAGACTCAACACCCTAGACGGCGGCACGGTGGCTGAGTGGATAGCACTCTCACCTCTCAGCAAGAAAGTCCTGGGTTCGAATCCCGGTTGGACCAGGGCCTTTCTGAGTGCAGTTTGCATGTTCTCCCCGTGTCTGAGTAGATTTCGTCTGGGTGCTCCGGTTTCCCCTACCACTAAAAAGATGTACAATAGGTCTGGCATGTGCCTCCTGTACTGGCACCCCCACTTCCAAAAATAACAATTGTAAACCACTTTGAGACTCAAAGTGTGCAGTGAAAAGGCAGTATATAAATAAAGATTACTACTACTACTACTACAGTACCCTCCAATAAAACACACGACGGCAACATGACACACACACAAACAAAAACGCACCAACGCTCTTATTCACACAGACAAAACAAGACATTATTCATATTTTGGGGTTAGAAAAAGTAATCAACATTTTTCTGAATGCATCCAGTTGCCTTTCAAAGCTTCCTGATGATTGGTCCACCAAGTCCACCTGATTGTAAAGAATTACTTTGATTAATGGTTCATTCTTGATATTGTATGTGACTAGAGCATCATTCAATTGTACATTTTCACATTAAGACACTAGCTATCAGGATTCCAAGTGACTATTCTGAATTTATATTAGGACGACATGTGTTAAGATACTCTGGCTCATGGACTATATGGCAACATCTATGTGAAAGCAAGTTGTTATATGGACTTGAATTTAATTGTCTGAAGTAAGCCAACACTGGTTTAACAAGTTTGATATTAAAAATGTATTAAACATGTAGTCAAAAGGTTCCTGGTAGTAGTGTGAACATTGTGACTTGTGTTACAGGCTGCCTGGACTGCTGCGTGAAGTGCTTGGGTGGGATCCCATATCCGTCTCTGATTGCCACCATCCTGCTGTACGCCGGGGTAGCTCTGTTCTGTGGCTGTGGTCATGAGGCACTGACCGGTACAGTCACCATCCTGCAAAACTACTTTGAGGTGGTCAGGAGCCCCGTGGAAGCACTCGACGTCTTCACCATGTACGTCCAACACACACCACAGTACAGTCCTCCTTCACTTACAGGCACAAAAGGCAATACGCTGCATTGGTCTTCTAGAATTGCATTTGTATTGTATTGTATATAAGAAAAGGTCCAAATGTTTTCCAAGATCATTATCTGATTGTTGTTTTAGATTCAAGTGGATTGTCTCAGGCTTGGCTAAGACAACACTAAATATCACAAGTGAAAATGTATTTTGGGAACATTCCATTCATTATCTTGTAGGGTAGGTGTGGTTTATGTCTATTCATAGCCGTACGTTGGGCTCCATGAATGTCAATCATGTGTTTGCACATGTGTGACATGTTTTTCTACACAATAACATTTATTGTGCCACAGAAATTTGACGAGAAAGAAAGAAACAGCCAAATGATGTTCACACAATTGTGGCAAACAATCCCAGTAGTTTTTTTTCCAGCTGCCCTCCATCTCAATCTTAATATGATGTCATATGAATACAAACTATTGCGTATTAGATGTTGTCACATTTTTGTTTTTGTTTTTTTGTTTTTTTTTTAACAAATTTTCACTTCCTGGTTGTAAAATTATGACCTCACATACAAACGAATCCCAGTTGTGCAAAGATGGTTGTTGAATACACTAGTGTTACTAGTGTTTTCAAATTAATTTTACATTTAAATTGCAATGTTATTAGGGTGAAATCTTTCCTAAAATTGCCAAAAGGATGGGACCACTATGCTTCATGTGTCAGTGTGAAAAGTCATTGTTGAAAACTATCACAAATGTAATGTAACGTAATGTAATGACAATTAGCACAAAGAAATTGGCATTGAGTAGCAGGAATACTGAGTGTCCCCTGTGCTGCTCTGCTATAAGAAAGCCAGACTCAGCCAAAATACACAGGATGACCTCCCATCCATCACACTGGATTAGGCTCACAAACTTCTTAGCTCATGGAAAGTTACCAAACTTTTGATTATCTAAATTGTTTAATAACACTAGCACTATTATTATCAATCTATATGATATCATGTTGTTTGTTCTCCCACAGGATCGACATCATCAAGTATGTGATCTATGGAATTGCTTCTGCATTCTTTGTCTACGGCATCCTGCTGATGGTAGAGGGATTCTTCACCAGCGGAGCCATCAAGGACCTGTACGGAGACTTCAAGATCACCACATGTGGGCGCTGTGTCAGTGCATGGGTGAGGAACTCGACCAAATACATTTTGGTCCAAAAAGACAAACTGATTCAATAAAGTAATGTTGAAAGTAGTTAATTGAAAGTATTGTCTACAAATGTTTTTTTTTAACCATGTTTCTTTGATTAGAGCCACGTTAGACAAGTAAACAATCTGTCTTTGCCCTCTGTCCTGCTCCAGTTCATCATGCTGACTTACATCTTCATGCTGGCCTGGCTCGGGGTCACTGCCTTCACCTCCATCCCAGTCTTCATCTACTTCAACATCTGGAACATCTGCCAAAATGCCACCACGCTGGAGGGGGCCAGCCTGTGCCTCGACCCACGCCAATATGGTCAGTCAACCCATGTTGAGTTTGTGAGATTCACTCAAGTTTAACTTGTATTCTCTTATTTGACACAAATATGTTTGGGGTGTGTTGTTCTAAGCAGAATAAACTCAAAAAACAACATTGATAGTTTGTATACTGCGCAAAAAGTGAAGGATGGGTAAAATTGACGGGACAGACAACATATACTATAATTTTCCAATTGGAATATCAACAATCTCTGTTTGAGAATTTGATGTCTCTAAATAAACTGTCCCATTGGCAAATCCAAGACCAATTATATTTTGTAATGATTGTGGTGTTAACAAAATCCAACACACTTATTGGCAAAAAAATTGTGATTTACAAAAGTATCACTATAATCATAAAAAAATGAAAATAAATCATGCTACGATTTCTGAATCTCTGACAAAAAGGTCAGACTGACTTCCAAGGGCCACTGCAACACAAAGTCTATCCTGCATAAATAGATTGCTCAGTCTTGCTAGAGTTCTTACTGATGCAGTTGTAGATCTTGATAGTATTGGACTGATTTGCACTCATGAAGCCAACCGCTCTGCCCTTCCAGGTATCATTCCTATCGCTGAAGCCAAAACTGTGTGTGCCGGCTCTGAGAAGTTCTACCGGATGTGTGATTCTAACGAGGTAACAGCCTGCTGCAAAGGTCTCCAGTCTCCAGTTTTGGATATAGAGGCTTTAAAAGAATGATGTAAATTCTTCAGATTAGACATTGTTATGACCGTTCCACCAGAGGTTTATGAGTCATTCATAATCCAAGCGTTCGACTGACATTGACTTTGATCTTTTGGCCCTCTGTGCCATTTTATGTGGCAACACAAAGTTGCCATTGAGGCAATTTGACAGTGTCATCCAACTTCAGCTCCAACAATAAAGTGTTGTCAAAAAAGATTTGACTGACGTGTTCAGAATTTGATACAGAAATAAGGCCAAGACTGCAAGAGTTAAAACTAGAACATTTATTCCTCTTTACAATTAAATATTGATACAAAACTCTTTGAGCTCTTAATTTCCCTAAATCTAACCCTATGCTGGCCATTCTAAACTGTCCCTCAAGGCCTGAAAATGTGCAGAGAATCATGCAGGCGCTCTGCCATGTTCTCTGTCTAACTGTCCCTGCTCAGACTGCTCAGAAAAGTCCTACCCCCAGTTTTATCAACATGTCCGATGACGTCACATGGTCTGAGACTGGTCTGGTCTCTGGTCTGGTCTCTAGTCTGGTCTCTAGTCTGGTCTCTGCTTAAGCAAACAATGCCCCCACCCGTGCGGGCCTGTGTGGGACTTAGACAAACGCAGCTGCTGCGGGTGGTTCCATAGGTCAAAATGGCCACACATGTGTTTATTCTTGGAGTCAATAATTGTCTGGTTTTGTAAGCTGGTCATTTTTATGACTGATTGTAGTTTCTCCATTTGACCCTCTTTATTCCTGTTTGCAATCCTTGTGTCCTTGGGGCTTTTCCCAGTGCACATTCTTCAGAGGGCCTGTTTTCAAAATCATTAGTAGACAACATTTTAATTCTACAACAATATCCCTCTTTTGACCTATCTTAAATAGGTCACATCCACATCGTCGTTTATCATCAATACTTGTGCTTAGTTCAGGCTCGATATCTAAGAGTTAATACAGAAAGAATACAACACACAACAAACCACATTTTAACCATTCCTTCAATACTATTTTGATGACTACTGCTGTGTCATTCTGATTCTTCATCAACCTCGTCTGTAATGTATGCACTGAATCTATTCACTATAGTTTAAACTACTCTAATCTATTTACAAATATGTTTGCATATTTGCTTTTATTGAGCCATATTCTTAAACACATGTTTTTTATCTAATAAATCCCTCTATACTATGGTTTTGCTCATTTTTCCAAATACATTTTGTTGAATCAGGAAGTGCTGTCACTTCCTCCTCTCAGACAGTTTGGGATGAATGTACATCATTAATCAAATTGGTATTATCCTTAGAAGAGCTAATCTCTTTTAGCAGGTTTTTGGGGTCAGTGACTCTACCATGGTATTCGATTTTCTAATCCGTGCTGACAAATCGACAGCTTTTAAAATTCTCAAAAATATCTAAATATCTACTTTTGTGTTATACCCAAATTCACCAAAATGCTTTTAAATGTTTTTGAATCTCTGTTGGTTCTTGTTCTGCAAATCACTATTTTATGTACTGTATTTCAGACAATTCCAAAAACAACACAGTAGTTCCCTAATATTAAAGACATGAATCTAATCAAGTTGCCTGAAAGGGAGCGGGAGGAAGAGAACTATTTTAAAAATGTCCTCTACAATTATATAGTTATGAAATTACTTATTTAATAAACAAAGGCACGTTCATTGCTTCTGTCCGCTGCTTATAACTGTTTAAAGAGTTGTCCCAAACTTAATATGTCTGAATACATCAGCTGTTTGTAATAAACAATAACATTTAACCTGTTCTCCAATGGAGCAGCTCAGAGGCTGCGTCAAAAGCAATGTTATATTTGGGCTATTTTTTAGATTTAAAATTTTGTTAAAGCCTGTTGTTCTATGTCTGCATATTAATACTACTCTCTATAAACACATCTGCACTAGATCCTACAGATGTGGAAAACAGAAGCATCTAAAATCTGACTCTATTTGATTCCCTTTTACTTTAGTTATTAGAACAATTTGACCTTATTGATACTTATTTTTTTCAATAAAACTGTTTTGATTATTCACTAGTCTAACTATTATTACTATTGTTTATTCTGACACCTCTTCTTAGTGACACTTTAACCTATAGCTCCTTGAATCCAATGACATTATAGCTCCAGACTATTTCATTCTATTCTATTATTATCATTATATGATCTATTATCTTAAAGAGTAGATCTGTTTGATGTTATAAGCGCTATTATTTCTCCTTTTGAATTTGCACCACACTAAATTTAGAATGACCCCCTATGGGACAAATAAAGAATTTTATTTTATTTTGGCAACTCCGAAAATTATTTAATAATTTTCCCATTTTGCTTTTGGTTAAGGACCATGACCACCTATGACAATAACATTACAATACTCCCTCTCTTGGTCATGGGCCAAGTGTAAAACATGCGTCTGTGTGTGTGTGTAGATTTCTGTTCCAATCATAATGCATCATCTCAAGTTGTTTCCTCCCGGATCGTCCTCAATTCATATTGTGGGCTTTGGTGCCAACGTAGAGGCTCATTTCCTTTATGATCCGTACTACTGTGTTATCCCTGAAGCAGGTGCCGCTTATCATTTATCTGAAAAAAACATTAGAACACAAGAAATGCCCACTTCCCTGGCATGGTGCAGCCTGTCAATCTTTTTCCAATTGGGCAAAACATAACTGCATTGACAGACGGTCGTGTGACATCAGGGCAGAGGCTGTAGCCAAATACAGACTTAACAAAATGTATGTTTCTAATTTTATACTCCCCTAAATGTGAGTTACAAACCAAAGTTGTCCTCCGCCCAATGACCGCTCACTGCGGTTGGACCGAATCACTGTCAGGACAAACAGCAGAGGGAGGGACTCCCAGTACCTTCAGCAAGGTATTCATCTCAGAGTACTTTCCGCAGAGTACTTTCTCAGAGTACTCATCCCAGAGTACCCTCACTTTTACACCTGTTCAATAAAGCTTGTTATCTTTTAATCTCTAGTACTTACACCGTATGCTGTTGACAAAAAATAATTATTCCATGATCACATTAAAACATTACAGAAAACATTTGTTATTCCATTCTCCGTTCAGCACTCCTCGTTCACTCCTCATTTCACAACACACTCACAACACACTCACAACACACTCACACAGGCCGACTCCCCACGTTAGTATATTGGTCCAGAGTTTTGTTAAGGTCAACGTAGTGTACTTGACATGACGCACAAACATATAACATACACAAACATATAACACACACAAACATATAACACACACAAAACATATAGACAACACAGGAGGCCTGTAATTTTAACTTTGTTATATTTTTCCATGTCAAATTACAATTGTCTCATGAGTTATTTTATTGTTGCAACTTTCAGAGCCTGCAGAACATGCAGAGCTTTTTAAGAGATTTTTTCCTAAAAGGATCCATTTCAAACTAGTGTTTAAACCACGTGGTCTTTGCTCGGGCTTATCACAGATTGTGTCCCCTATATTTTTAATGAGCTCTTGTTACTTTAAAAAAAAAAAACTCGTGCACGCGCCAAAAATGTTTTTCCCTTTTTTTTCCAGTAAAGCCAGGTCGGATTCATTAAAAATGTAAATTAGTCTCAAACTTTAATACTTCACCTTTGTTTCACGTTCATGTGGAGAAAAGACCATTGTTCTACGTGTGTTGACGTACTTGCACCAATCATATCTCAGATAAACTGCCAACAGTTGTTTCAAAGACATAATTGTCCTAATTGTTTCTAATTTAGCTATTTGGAAGAGAAACATGTCATAAAAGATTTCATAAAATGTCCCTACATCCTTGTTTTCAACCAATGGACTGTGGTGCGTTAATGTGCCATCAAAAATGGTCTAATATCACCTTTAGCCAAGATTTAGAAATACTTTAAATAATTTTTCAAACTTTAATTGTCTGAACAAACCATTTTGTACTAAATGCAGCGTCCATTAAAAGCTGCAGTTCTCTTTCCAGCACCAGTATCAACTGTGCATGTGATTGTTTTAAATGATTAACGAGCCACGGTTCAGAGGTTGAAAAATTGCCTTAAATATCCATATTACCAAGATCATGCAGTCAAAATCAATAATTCTAAACTTCTCCGCGACTATAACTTTAAATAACAATAATAGTTTTAATAATAAAACTCATCTAAATCATGCACAGCTATACTACAATTCTAATCTTCTTGTGTCTCATTCTAAAGTAAGAGTAATTTTGACGATCGGCTTGTAATCATTCATGCAGTTAAATGTAGTGTTATGAACGAATGACCTAAATGTGTAAATATGTCTCTGTGCGTTGTTGCCTGTCTGTATACAATACCTCCTGTCTGTTTCATTTGCCCAGCCACGTCTTCCTCTTATGGCGTCTTTCAATTGTCTTTGTCTCAAAGTGTCCAATGTCTTTGTCTCAAAGTGTCCAATGTCTTTGCCTCAATGCCTTTTTTCTTCTTCTTTCAACAATCACTTTCTTTCTTCTTCCGATAACTTTTTCTCATAATGTCTTTCTTCTCCTTTCAATAACTTTCTCTTCTCCTTTCAATCTTTTCTTTCTCAGATCCGACGCACACAAATGTGTCATGTCCTTCTTCTTCTTGTTTTTTCCGGCGGTTGGCGGCCTATTTTTCCGCATTACCGCCACCTTCTGTTCCGTAGATGGGTCAACACTCAGTTTGTGAAAAAGTCTGCGGTCTTTTCTTTGCCATGCTGTTAGCAATGGGGGCTGGAGAAGTCTTCTTCGAGAGTTCCTGTTAGCTGCTGCAGCCGATGCTGCTGTCTTTGCTGCCCCCTGTGGGTCTGGGGGAGACGCTGATGGTCCGTGCTGATGGCGCTCGATTGAGGTCTTGTGGCGGGGACGGTTTTGGCCAAATGAAACAGACAGAAGTTTTCTCAGAAAAAAACAGACAAACAAGAAGCACAAACAAGTGTGTTAATTACCATACAAAACCAATGATTAATTACAAATCTAAATAAACCTATGAAATAATTAATATTAACATTTTAAACATTAAATTCTGAAAACCAAATCTGCATTCAACTGCTATCCTAAGCTCTATTTTTCCAAAAGTATACTGTTCTTTAAGATCATTCTAACTTTTATATCACCTAAATGTAGGGAAAAAAACTTGTCCAGACGCCTTGGAGATAAAAATAAAATAATGCCTCTTTATAATCTAACTAAAGTTAGATTATAAAGTCTAATCTAAAGTTCTGTGATCATATGACTCCATGTTAGTAACATTATCGTGTGTATAAATGTAATTTTCTACAAAAAAATATATTTGGTAATAGCTCTGTCTTCACCAGAGAGAGAGAGAGAGAGAGAGAAAGAGGGAGGGGAGGGGCTGAGTGCTGTATGCTTCAAGCATTTCCCTCGTTTTTATTGTGACAAGGTTTTAATCAGTGGTAAAAGTTTTTCTCACGTCAAACGACACTTTACATTTTATCCTTAAATACGTCAGTAATGGAAAACATTACAATTTGCTTACATGACTAATGCATCACTAGGTACAGCCGGATCTTTTTCGTAATACCTCTGTAACTATTGAAACATTACATCAGAATAAGAGAAAAACTTCCATAACCGATCATTCTGGTCATTTCTTCACATGGAAACTCGTATTTACAGCCAAGTGGCTCTCTTTTTTTCTCATTAATCAGATCATTATTATCAGAATCCACATTTTAAATACTTGGCTTTTTTTCTGTTTAAATGTACCCTTTTTCCCGCCCCCCGGGGGATATAGAGGTTTTATTATCCTATAACTTCTGACCCTAAAGCTGTCCCTATTTCTCTAATTCTATTCCTATCTTTTCACTAATACACTTGTGCCTCTCTGCACTTTAAAACGGTGTGCCTCTTCTGCACTTCTAAACTCTGTGGACCTCTCATCTATGTTCTGTTTATTTTAGGAGGGACCAATTCTTCCCCCAAGGCTAAAAACGTCTAAACCTGACTATTGTTCTATCGCGTCCGATAGAACACCCATCACGGCGGTCTTGTCCACGCTGCAATCTGTCGAGCCAAAATCTCTCTCTCTTCTATTTAAAACAATGTGCAGATTTTCAAAACTATGATCCGCTTACCTCTTTAGAAGCAACATTTGTGAAGAGCAGAGAGATTTTCCAGACCCACATATCCAGTCCCTATAGCTGAGCTCATCTTGCGTCTTCTTTCTGTATCAAATCACGTCGGGGTCACCATCTGTTGTCAAAAAAGATCTGACTGACGTGTTCAGAATTTGATACAGAAATAAGGCCAAGACTGCAAGAGTTAAAAATAGAACATTTATTCCTCTTTACAATTAAATATTGATACAAAACTCTTTGAGCTCTTAATTTCCCTAAATCTAACCCTATGCTGAGCCATTCTAAACTGTCCCTCAAGGCCTGAAAATGTGCAGAGAATCATGCAGGCGCTCTGCCATGTTCTCTGTCTAACTGTCCCTGCTCAGACTGCTCAGAAAAGTCCTACCCCCAGTTTTATCAACATGTCCGATGACGTTACATGGTCTGAGACTGGTCTGGTCTCTGGTCTGGTCTCTAGTCTGGTCTCTAGTCTGGTCTCTGCTTAAGCAAACAATGCCCCCACCCGTGCGGGCCTGTGTGGGACTTAGACAAACGCAGCTGCTGCGGGGGGGGGGGCTGCGGGTGGTTCCATAGGTCAAAATTGCCACACATGTGTTTATTCTTGGAGTCAATAATTGTCTGGTTTTGTAAGCTGGTCATTTTTATGACTGATTGTAGTTTCTCCATTTGACCCTCTTTATTCCTGTTTGCAATCCTTGTGTCCTTGGGGCTTTTCCCAGTGCACATTCTTCAGAGGGCCTGTTTTCAAAATCATTAGTAGACAACATTTTAATTCTACAACAATAGTCATGCTATAACTTGTTCTCAAAATCTCAAAACCCTCTGGAATCCAGTAGTTGACTCTGTTGTTGATTTGTTTTATGGTTGTGTCACAACATTCAACATTAAATGCAGCTGTGGTGTGAATCAATAAGGATGTATCATAGCCCATTTTAAATTCGAGAATTCAGTCAATCCAGCTCCAATCCAGTTTTTAAATCCAGGTTGTCGGCCTCAGGTCAAGTCTGATGAACTAAAGTGGCCCTTTTAATAAAAGGTTTGGACACCCCTGGATTAACCAATGGTTATGATAAGCAAAACACTCCACTCCAAGCACCAGTGGTAGTAGTGGGAAAATACATTCTGCTTTTTTACATAATTTTTTCTTTTGTAATGGGTTATGTGACTGAAGACAATCGCTTTAGTTTTAAAGGCAGCTCGGTCCATGGTTACATTCTTCTTTGTGTACCAAGTTTGAAAATAGAGCGTTTTATTAAAGCAGGCATGTCCAAAGTCGGAATCAAAAGCATATAGAGTCTTCTGGGTCATGTTGTTTCTGTGAGCACTGGTTCTCCTCAGGGATGTATTTTGAGTCCTTTGCTTTTTACTTTGTACACTCACGATTGTGTGTCCTCCTCTGACTCAAACTTGATCATTAAATATGCTGATGACACCACCATCATCGGTCTCATCAGTGACAATGATGAATCCTCTTATAGAGCAGGGATACAAAATGTGGTTCAATGGAGTAAAACTAACAACCTCCAGTTGAACGCATCGAAAACATGTGAACTGGTCTACGACTTCAGTCGCAATAGTTCTCATTTGCCTGTCGTAATCGACAACTCCCAGGTGCAGATCGTAGAGGAGTGCAAGTTTCTGGGTTTAACTCTGTCTAACGACCTGAAATGGGTTAAAAACACTGACCGAGTCGTTAAGAAAGCTCGTCAGCGTCTCTACTTTCTGTGTAAACTTAGAGAATTTACCACTAACTCTAAGATTCTGCTTAACTTTTATCGCTGCACCATTGAGAGTTTACTTGTTGGTTCTGTGTCTGTGTGGTTTGGAAACATCACAGATAAAGAAAAGAGATCTTTAAACAAGGTGCTCCGCTCTGCAAAGAGGACCGTGGGCTGTGAGCTTCCTGTTCTGGAGGTTCTTTATAAATCCAGACTTTTAAACAAAGCTCTCAGGATTGTTAATGACTCTTCTGGCCACCCTGGGAAAGCCATGTTCCAGCTTCTTCCCTCTGGCAGAAGATATCGCTCTCTGAGATGCAGGACATCTCGTTACGCTAACAGTTTTTATCTACAAGCTGTTATCAGTGTGAACAGAGCACTTTAATGATTTGCACTTGTTTTGAACTGTTTTAGTCGATCGATTTCACAGTGACTTTTGTTTACTGTTTTATTTGTTTTATTTTTGTCTTTTAATGTTGTTTTATGTCTGTATTTGTCTGTGCACACTGGAGACTTTTCGCTAATGTATTCCAATGTGGTTTTTTTACTGCAAATGGCAAATAAACTGAATCTGAATCTGATATATGGCCCTCTTCCACTAATCCAAAGGACCATTGAGATTATAAATACAAATTAATTGCGTCATCCAGCCATCTTCAGCTCCATCAGAACATGCTGTACCTCATGGTGAGGCTTAGAACGAGTGCTGCTCAAACAAATTGCCCCTGGTGGGATAAATAGTCTGAATCTGAAGAACTGGGTTTGACCATACCAACATTGTTATTGACTAAACTCCTTCTAAACTCTAAAATACAAATGAGGGGATGGAGCTACACAACAACTCCAAAAGAGAATAGAGAGGCTTTATCAAATGGGAAGATGAATTCGACAGCTGCATATGTTTATGATTAACACTATGTGTATGTAGTTGTATTTCTTGATATCTAAACATAGATGCTGTGTTTTCAGCTGGACATGACATTCCACCTGTGCGTGTGTGCACTCGCCGGGGCTGGAGCTGCCGTCATCGCTATGGTAACGCTCACTTCACTGTACTGTTTTTTTTTGTGGGAGGAGGGAGGTGGCTGTCTCTGTGTGGGTCACCATGGAAACAGGCTGCAGACTGGGAGAGACATTTATTTGAAGCAGACGATGCAGTGAAGAGAAATGTTTGTGTTCTGATGAGAAAACATTGGAACGCTGTGATTATGTCAGAAACGGGAGATGAAGACAGTCTAACGGTCAGATGCTTCTCCCTGCTGGACAGTTACAAACAGAGCAAATAGGTAAAATATGATGTGTTGGTTGCTGAGTCAGGTCCATGCAAGCCTCGGTGATCCAAGATGGCGCCCTATTCAAATGAATGACTTGTGCTCAGTAGGGACTTCACAGGGACCGAAAGATTAGCGGAACTCACCTATATTTGGATATATCTGCGCAGTGAACGAGCTCCCATGATGCGTTGCGCTAAATACGTGTGTGTGGCTCTCACGCACGAGCATAGAGGGTCTCGGCCACGCTTTCACCAATCAGCGCTGCTGATCAGAGCAGCGGTAGAGCGGAACCAGAGCGGGAAGGAAAACCGCGTTTGTGGCAGTAAATTGTGGATTTAAAGAAAACCAAAGGATTTAAGAAGAAAGAAGTTCAGGATGACAAGGGACACTAAAATCCTCACAAAATACGGTCTTTATGAAAGCAGTAGGTTTTCTGTCAGCTGAGGTCCAGCTAACCTGGCAAGAGCCAGATTGATGATTGTGTAGAACTCTAACGCGTTCTCCACAATATCAATCTGGGATTTCTCCCGGAGAATCCTTTCGGGGAAAGGAGGGATAAGCAGCAGAATACTTCAAGCTGATTGGGCGAAATGACGCTGTGTGCCCGCCTACCAAGGTTGCCGTCCAGAAATGCACAAAGCGCCTCTCGCTGTTCATCTTTCAAAAAAGAAATTGGAGATTCTGCTAAAACTGACTTGATAGCCTCAGCTACGCGTCCGTCCTCCTGCGTAGCCATGTTTGTTTTGCTTCGGCCCGCACTTCTTGCTTTCGTCAAACCCGGATATCCCGCCCTAAACCCCCAGACTGGCGCGTGATTGGCTCGCACACCCAGTGGTTCGACTCGAAAAGTGTAAGCGGGAGCGGTACAAGATGTATTCTTGAGTGTTTGTGAACTCACAAATACCGCGAGAATTCAGCTTGCAGGCAAGGTTAAGGTCCAGCTGGTTTAGTTTACATTCAGTTCTATGGGACTTTTTTTTGGGTAGCTCACGTGAATTTCGGCTGCGGTCACATGCACAGCCTAAAGCCCGGTTTAAGTGTGCCAGGGCCCACTTCGTGATTAGATCCAGGCTTTAGGTGCTATTTAATCGCTAGAACACACCAACACACACTTGTATCCTGCCTGGTTCTCGTACGCCACACTTTTTATTCTTTCATTCTCATTTATTCATTTCTCAGCCCTTAATGAAGCGTGTGAAGAGTGTGTTACCCACTGAACTGCTGACTTTGCATCAGAGCAATGTGGACAAGTGTGAGATGTGTCTTTCCCTAAACAACGCAATCCATGCTCTAGCTATTAGCTAGAGCATGCTAGCTACTTAGCTAGCTAAGTAGCAGAGTGTAAACAGGAAGAGAAACGGAAACTTAACTCTTGACAACAAGGTTGTCGCTAAAGTTAGTATTAGCGCCACCAGCTGGACAGAAAGTTGTACTACAGCACAGTTGCTCTGGCACGGTTCACGTGAACACGTTCACGTGACCACGGGCCGTTTTAACACCCATCTGGTGACGATCCGGGCCACTTGACCTAGTTTGTTTGTAAAAACCTATGTGGCCGTGCCCTTAGTCTGCAGTTCCATGGGTCCATACCATTCGTGGGTTTCATATGACGTCGGGGCAGTGGCGCGAATGACATACATGGGACAGGACCGAACCGGACGAGACGTACCCTGGCGGTGCAGTCTGCCGGGTATATACACTGAGATATAGTAGAAGAAGAAGCGCTAATAATTGTTGTAACACATAAATAACACAATTTCGTATTTGACTTTGACGTTTAAATCAATTTTGACAAATAAAAAGTTTGATATCATGCTTGTTCATATGTATGTCCCTTAACATGCACTGTCCTAATCAAATAAACCAATACATACAGATGCAAATACAACATCAACATATGACACTCATATGTGGTTTTTCATTTGAAAGATACATTATGTATGTCTCATTAAATAGCGATAGCCAAAAAATGCTAATATGCGTGCCAAAAATAGCCATCTTAAAGCCACGATAGCCAAGATATCTTAATAGCTATCTTAAAGGTGTGTCAAAAACAAGGCAATGCTTCTTTTGTCTCTAGATTGTTGACCCAACCCGAGACAAAATAATTATTTGCGTCATTTGTGTCGCAGTGTAGCAGGACGTCTGTATCACCAGGTAGTTGATGATGTCCAACGCCTCCACCGCTGATAAATCCTCCATTCTGTATTCGAACTCAGACTTTGCTAAACTATACGGGTCATACCCCGTGTGCGAGTTGATTTATTCACGATATCAAGTTTGTGCGAGCCCGGACAGCCCTTTGTATTACTCACTTTCTTCCATTGCTCTATGTTGTGAACAGGTGATGAGCAAGGCTTTGTCAGAAAAGCGCCCCCTGCAGGCCACCCGAACGCAGCAATTCCTTCTGTTTTTTTTTTTTTTTCAAAAAATGCCCTTTTGAGAAAGAATCCCTTGGAATTGTGTGTCCCCCTCCCTATTAAGTCTGTTTCTGTTGTTGATGAGACAATGGTTACATGGTTTTCAATGGGAGCAAAACTGAGTTGTCCCATCTCTGCTCATTCGCCCCCTACAGGCCAGGTTTATAAGACCCATAGGCCACAATTGTTTATGAAAACTCTCAACCTCAAGCAAACTCATTGTGACAGAATGGATGGATACAACACACATACAAACATGCATACAAAGGGCATAATAACGCTCAAGTCTGCTCTTGTGAGCGGTAGTGTAAGTGCAGGACAAGTGAGACATTTCATTTCAAATATTGTGGTGTAAAATATATAAATTATACAATGTATAAATTAGACAAAGGCCTCATGTATCTGTCTGAGTGTATTGATGCTCATTGTGTGTTCTGCTTCAGATCCATTACCTCATGGTTCTGTCAGCGAACTGGGCCTATGTGAAGGACGCATGCCGAATGCAGAAGTACGAGGACATCAAGTCCAAAGAGGAGCAGGAGCTTCACGACATCCACTCCACACGCTCCAAAGAACGGCTCAACGCATACACATAAGAAGCTCCCCCCTTACCTAAGCCTTACCTCCTGTGCGCAGCCCAGGCCCCAGGGATGATGTCACTGGCACGTCACTTGACCGCGAGTTCCCAGGCGTTGTCCCATTCCAGCCCCTTCACCTCCTCATCGATCCAAGGAGACATTTTTGACTTTTTATGTTACGTTTTGAACACATTTAGACTTATTACGCAGTCCAAAATGAAACAATGTACAGAATTTGTGTAAAAGTATAGTGTATATTATTTTTAAAATGGCCACTTCTCTAAACAAACCAACATTGATTTACACAGAACCTGGTGGAGTAACTATCAAACAAAAAGTACTTCACTCATCATGTCTCCTTCACCCTAACAGTTTTAATTCAGCATGAGGTATTCTAACTCCGGGTACACACTCAAAAGTATAAGTCTGTTTCATTCGTGCCCTTGTTTCTGCTCGTTCGTGAGGGGGTCATAGGGGCTTTTAACGGTTTCCAAGCACATTGTCACATAGAGTGTGGAGATATATCCATGTACTGTAAGTGGATGAGTGGTAACTTATGAATTGTGTGTTTTTCATATCCACGTCAAGAGCCTCGCTACTTATCACTCATGACACCAAGATGTTTACATTTACAACTGTTCACTTCAAATGTTTCTTTTGATTTCCAATATTGTGTAAAGATAGCTCATGTTGTGATTTCCTGATTGAAGATTCTCAATGGCTGTGTCTGAATGTCTGCTATATCACCTTCATCCGTGCTCAGGTCACCCGGGTCCCCCACATCAGTTAGGTGCAGTGGCTCTACTCTGAGCTCATCCGATGTGACTGAGCCCCTCATTCTATTTCTTCTCTGTGGTTTATTCATAACCAAGGTTCAACAGAGCATTACTGCAGCTCTTCTATCTGCTTTTGTTTAGTCAAAGACGTGTCACTGTTGTTGTCTTCCAACTTCCACTTTGCTTAGTGGTCTTGATTGACCAGTTTAATCCAGGATATCAAGCAAAGCATCATGGGGTAGGAAGCAAAGCTTACGGGAAGGGGACGGCAGCGCGGTCAGATGATATACACTTTTAAACAAAACCTATTGATTTGAATGGGCATCGACCCAGGCCAAAAGACCTAGAGGTGTTAAATCTAAAATTCGTCTTTGTTGGGAATATTGAGGGCATTCAGATGCAGGCGATTACTCAACGAACCATCAGCTACATCAATGCCAACGCTTAATTTCATACAGAATAATTTTGCAGTAAATCCCTGTTTTGAAGTGAATGGAAATAGCTAAGTTGCCAAAAGATCAATAGTATGAGCTCAGAATACTGTGTTTACTATGGTGCACCTTTGCCACATTCACAAGTTGTGCCAAGTTGGTAACGAGGGAAAATGATTTTCTTTTTTCACAGGGGCGCTCCAAAATGTTTAGAGGGAAAAATGTGAAATATTTTTGCAAAATTATTTTATTAACAAAATATCTATTTTAAATACTGCATAGCCTTCTAGATTAGACTTCAAAGATAGATTCGATATTACAGATTTACAAATCCTGACTTACAAATCCTGCTTGGTGTTGCCGTGTCAAAAGCAATAGATTTGATCATTTGTCATGCCGCAAATGGTCCCTGTACCACACTCAAAGTGTGGTACAGGGACCAAAATGACGTCTTCCAAGAATATATCACAATATTTCTTTCAAAAGCAGTGAATTACCTATGGCGTTGTACCATCAAACCTCATCACGTGAAGCTGCCAAATCAATCACAAGCCTTCACATCTCTTTTAAATCACAGAATAAAAAAACAAGACATATTGGTACTGGATTAGTGTAACTCAATGTGGAAGATTGCTATTCCCTGATTGTCTGAACATTTCAGGACATATGACTCTAATTTGGTAAATTAACAGTCCATTGTAAAATATTGTTACACAACTCTTTATAAATCAATTAAAAGGTTTTAGCTAAAGACAATTGAGTTCCACAGTCCTGCCTGTTCCAGTCCAGTTTCCAGGGTCCAGAAGCAAAAAGTGCTTTTGGACTTTGAAGCTCTATTGACAGAACAGTCCTGTTGGGATGGTAACGCTGCAGTATAACAATAATTTGGATTACAAGGCAGAACGTACAACAAACATAAACAGGAGCAACAAAGCGGCATTGATGATTAGATTCTAGTCTTGTTGAGTTTGATTATACAAATGATATTTCCATAATACAGTCAGTAGAAACATTCCTGAGATTGCTCTTACACTCTGGCGCAAATTCAATCCGTCCTGTAGCATAAATTTTAGGATATACTGTATTTAGAAGAAACGGCAAAAGTAATCTTCTGTGATTAGAACAATAGTAGCACCTTCAAATTCCATCATTACTCAAGTACTACATGCAACATCATTTCAACACTCCTTCAGTCGTCTTGCACTACCCTTCTTCTATCACGCACCATTTTCCACGCCCTTCTTGGTGTAAATTTCGGTGCATTGGTGTGGAATAATAACTGTACTGTGAAGACTGTAAAACTCAATGTTTGTTATTCTGTGGCATGGACTTGCATTTATATAGTGAACAATTCCCTCTACTTTGTTGTAGCTGTTTTTTGTGTTACCTTTTTTTCCAAAACTGTCATGCTGGACAGTTTTTGATGCTAATGGCTAATGCCATTTTTGATGCTAATGTTGACTAATGCTAATCACTAACCATAAAGTGATGGAGGGATTAAAGTAGATTGCTGTATCGGACTCATGGGAAACACATGATTATGCTGGCCCATCATTTCCCAAGAAAATGCTCTGGAAATGTTAGATGGCCATCACAATCGCCACAAAACAGCACCTATGCTCTGTCGAGTCCTTAACAGCTGTATTTCCAAACCTGAACCACTTCTTGCTGGTTACGGTTGGTTAAACTATCACTTTCCAGCCCTGTACCTCCATGATTGGGTTCTCCTGGTTGGCTGAAGCTGAAAACATGTTCTTTTGTACTTACACCTTTAACACTGTATGTAGCAGGCTTTCAAATAATTTTTTTGTCTGTTTTGTTTTGTACGTTGGTGCCAAAAGCTTTGAGTGGCTTATTTGAATTAAAATTCACTTGTGTACTTGTTAGCAAATGTGTCGTCTTTTTGTGACAAAGATCCTGCACTGGAGGGGTTCCAAACAGCAGAAAAGTTTCCTGTAGCCTCGAGTAGTTCATCAGAATGCAGTGGGGTTGGGACAGTATCGGGCGGCACGGTGGCTCTTGATTCTCAGCAAGAAGGTTCTGGGTTTGAATCCCGGTCGGAAATTGCCCTTTCTGAGTTGAGTTTGCGTGTTCTCCCCGTGTCCGCGAAGGTTTCCTCCGGGTACTCTGGTTTCCCCTACCACTAAAAACATGTACAATAGGTCTAGCATGTGCCTCCTGTACTGCCGACCCTGCTCCCATCTCTGTGTGGAGTGAGAGGACAAATGCCCACAATTGTAAACCGCTTTGTGACTCTGGTCTGTGAAAGGCCCTATATAGATAAAGATTACTTAGTATCGATACGTTACTGATAACATTTTCACACAAATACAACTTATTTGAAAATAAGTTTATTATTTTGCATATTGCACCCAGCAGCTGTATGAGTAGTCATCCTGGAGCCCCTAATTTCACAATTGTCCTTCTTTGCTCTTAACGCTATTTTTTCACCTTATTTTGTATATATTTTTGTAGATATAGCTGCGTATTGGAGCAAAATGTAAGCTTAGGGTTTGCCATTAGAGAGGAGTAAGGGACCACTGTAGGGCAGGTGTTTTATTGAGCACTGATGAGAACTGTCAGGTCATGCTAACGGGAAGAAGTCTTTCTTCAACAGTCTTCAACAGTCTTTTGACCGTTGTTTGGGATGGTTCTTCAGGCCCTGATTTTTAAGATTTTAACGCTAACATACATGAATTGAATGGACAGTTTTTAACCAATTATGAAATAAAATGTGATCGCCTTTAAACTGAACAAACAACTGGAAACGCTTTCTTACCATCGACAATGCGTCAGAGGTCATTTCTGGTAGCAAGAAGCGTCCTGTTAAAGCCAAGCAACAGGACACTACACTGCGTGAGGCTACGGCACAATAGAGGGAAGAGCCATTTTCTACTTTTGCCAAGTTTTGCGTCCTGAATTGGTCTATGTGTCTGTGCCCAAGCGAAGCCCCGAGTGCCCATTGTCTCGTACTCCAGGGAGAAACTACTAGCGCTGCATGGCCGTGTAGTGCTCCAGGAGGACAGACACAGCATCCCGGACGTGCTGCTGCTCTACACATGCAAAAACGGCCAAATGGGCAGAAAGTAGAAGGGAGAAAGCGCGGATCCAGACCTATAGTCCTTCTCCCACACCCCCCTGCCCTTCCAAAAAAAACTCAACTCCTCCCACCACTGAGCCCCCCTCCTCCCTTCTCAGCACCCACCCCCCGCACCCCTCTGTCATTCACTGCTGCCCAGGTGAGGACAGAGAGGAGAATGATAAAGACCAGGAAAGCACCAGAACCAAATGACTTTTGCTCCAGACTCCTATGCTCCTGCGCAGATGAACTCTGTGGAATGATGGAGCACGCCTTGAACCTGAGCCTCAGGCTGAGGTCGGTACCGCAGCTCTGGAAGTCGGTACCACAGCTCCTAAATGGTACCAGTGCCCAAGACACCACGGGCCAAGAACCTCAGCGACTTCAGAATGGTGGCTTTGACATCCCACCTCATGAAGACACGGGAGAGATTGGTCCTGGGACATCTGAGCCCAGTGATGGACCCGCTGCAGTTCACGTACCGCCCAGGCACTGGAGTGGCGGATGCCATCATAACCCTCCTCTCTCGCTTGCTGTTCCACCTGGAGAAGCCTGGCTGTGGGAATCCTCTTATTTGATTTCTCCAGCGCCTTCAAAACCATCCAGCCATGTCTTCTCAGGAACAAGCTGGAGACAGAAAGAGTGGACTACAACCTGTCTGAGTGGATCCTGGACTACCTCACAGACAGACCCGTTTGTGAGAATCAGAGACTTTGTGTCTGAGGTCCTGGCAGTGTGGTGGCTCCCAGGGGGACGTCCTGGCGCCGTTCCTCTTCACCCTAAAGATGTGTTCACACCAAACGCTTCAAAACGCCCGTGACGTGCGTTGTATGACTCTGTTGCCCCAAAATAAAATAGTAACGCCCTGGCACACAGTTAAGTTCATACAAGGAGGCATGCCACGCAGATCCACATCACCACATATACATAAATCAATAAATAAGCAATAATATAAGCGGAAAACTCCAATTTCAGTTCGTCAGAACTGTAGTGACCTCAAAGTTTATTATTAAGATGCTTTTTGACTGATGTCATGTCATTGTCTTACTGGTGTAAAACTCTGCTAAAATCTGATAATAATAATATATCTCCTAATTTTTTAAATATAGCCAAACTTGCATGTGAAAAAGCAGATCCCATCAGACCTCTGAAGCGGTGCAGGACAGAGCCTGGTTAGTACTGTGATGGGAGACCTCTGGGAACACCAGGTGCCACAGTGGGGCGGTAAAGTGTCAAACTGTTCATGTGCCCTTAGGCAAGACTTCACCCACTTCCATGGCACAAACTGGTTACTCGCTTGTGCCGCTGTGCTCCAGGGCAGCTGTGGATACGATTGTAGTTTATCACCACCGTGTATGGAGTGAAAGAATAATGACACGTGAAGCGTACTTGAGTGTACTGAAAAGCGCTATATAAAACAGATACATTATTAAAATAAATTAAAAGTGGCCTCCACACATCAACATACAGTCCCTTTAGCTTGTCAGCAGAGGTCGCTGTGTGAGACAAACAGCTCTTTATCTCTCTCTCAGGATTATGACTATGTTAAAGTCTCCTCCACAAATCCTGCCCTAATCCTGCTCCTCCACTTCCCCACGGCCCTGCGGACTCCAGCACCACGGCTCCTCTTGCGGGGGTGTTTGCTCCCCCTCTACCTCCAGCTCAAGCTTCCCACACGCAGCACCACGGCTCTTTTGGCTGGGGTCTCTGCTGTTTCCAGTGGACCACCCCCTCCACCACGGTCCTGCTGGCTCCTGGGGTCTCTGCTGTTCCCAGAGGACCATACTGTTATGTGGATGCCACTGTTCTCTGGGCTGGGGGACCTGGGCTGAAATGCGCTCCCTGCTGTTACTGTTGTGCCTGCTGGGAGCGGCCGCAGCCTTCTGCCCCTCACAGTGTACCTGCGTATTCCATGGACGCACCGATGGCACCGGGAGCAGGTAACACCGAGGCCTTTTTTGACTTGGATTATCGTTTATGCTTATTATACTATAATATTGCATACTATTATTATACTATTATACTGTACTATTATTTAAAAGTAATATTGATCATTTTTACATACATAAATAAACATGGGAAATTCGAAATCAGAAAGAGCAAGACTTCCTGATTTAAAAGGCAGAAAACTCTTTGTCTTATTGTTTGTAATAATGAGTTTGAGATAGAGTGGTTGGAAAAAAGGGTGAGCGCTTTTGAGTTGGGAGCACACCTGTTCTCACGTTTCACGTTGCGTGCCTTGTAAGCCATATTCGCACAGTATTAGTATTACTTTGGGACCTCTGGTAATTTTCAAATTACTGCCCCACTTCTTACTTGCAAGAATAATGCAAGAATTGAAAATATAAAATATATACATCACAGTTGTTTATGTTGTATCAAAACAGCGTCCGGGCTACTTGAAGCTGCTTTAATATATAGCAACAACAAAAAAGTATAGCAATGGTAAAACGTTCACAGGCGACGACTCCAGATATCTGTTATTATGCAAATGTCGGTGGAGCAGGCATGTCAAAGTCAAATACATCAGAGGGCCAAAAAAAAATTTTTGCTACGCGCCGAGGGCCGGACTGGTTCAATGTTTCTCAACATCCAGAGGCAGTGCCGGTGACACCTGCTGGCTCGATAAAATATGCTCTAAAGCCAATCCTCATACTGTACACATTAGATGTAATAGACATCTGAGAACATGAAAATAATAATAAAAAAAAAAAAAAGCTCAAACTTGGTGAAATGTAAAAGAGCAGTCTGGACCTCTTTTCGGGGCGTTTTTTGATTAAATCTGCAGAATGGATTATACTTTGGGAAATACAAGTGGATATTCTTCTTCAATGAACAGTTACGGAGAGAAAGAGACTAAGCAAGGATGGGGAAAGTCTAATTTGTTGGAGCAGCAGAAGACGAAAGGTAAAAAACGAACACAGACGTGATTTATTTTGTGCCCATATTATGCGTTATATCTTTTTAATGCAAGGTCTGATATCGTTTACACTTACATATAAATATAGCTGAGAAAATAAGCTTTAAAATTATATATAGCTTGTGGCTTATGAAGTTCAAAATACATCTGCTATTGCCAGCAGATGTATTTTTTTCCTCGTTTGCTCCCGCCGGCGGGGGCTAGCGAGGTTAAGGGGTCAATACATTGCCTTGCCTCAATGGCAGGCAATGTCCCGGGGGCCATAGATAATTCATTCGCGGGCCGGATTTGGCCCGCGGGCCTTGACTTTGACACATGTGCGGTGGAGGCTATAGCCTAGCTACAGCTTTTTAATGTTTAAAATGTTCAGGCCTCTACCAAATTTTTGAACATCCTTTGAAAATGTGGCTCTATTTGTGAATCTCTTATTGTTCCTGCGGTGGCTGTACTAAGATTTTCTGCAAAAAATCCGTCAAAACTGCAAATACAAATTTCTACCACAGCCTCCATTGTTCAAGCCGAGAGGAGATATGAAAAGGTGTGCAAGTTATTGACAGAGAGCAATGCAGGATGTAGAAAAGGAGGCATTTGTAAAAACAATCACTGAGATGCAGATTCCCACGGTATTATCACCAGACGTTGCCAGACATGGCACACCAGACGTTTACAGACATGGCACACTCGCTAACACCTCAGGCATCCTCCGCAATTATCACAAATCACCAAAGGTCCACAATAAAATACTAATCCTGTGCGAATAGTCAGGAAAAATATTGCACTAACTAAAACAATGACAAATGTCTGACAACAAAATTAACACAGCTGTGGAGATTTCAAAAAGCATTGTAACTCAATGATCCAATTGTGTATAATTAGTAATTATAGTAGTTTGTAACTATAGAAACAGGTTGCATGTCCACGTCAATCCACTTATCTGTGACAACGAGCTAACGCAGCACAGGGTCGTATTGAGATGATTTAAAGGCACACCGCGGACTTTGTGACCTAAAGAGTTGACACATATGAGTTATTTTATATGAATACTTGGGACAATATACAGCGCTTGACACTTGCAATGCTCCGAGCGGGGCTGCCCTCTTGAAATACCGCCCATGTAAGTTTCGAGCAGACGGACCGTCTGCCACCAGGTCACGTGACTTGGAAGAAAGATTTGCTTTACGGCTACAGGCGCTGATATACTCATGGAGCTAAGGCTTTTGCTACTCATTTTTCACCTGCTCGACTCCTGGTCATGGCTGAGGCAAGGAAAAATTTTAAACCTTCGGAGGAGGCTAAAAAGAGGAAACGCGAAAGGGATCGTGCTGTAAGCTGCATGTCTGTATGAGCGCTGCTCTTCACCTGGTTCCTGGATGTCATCGACTGCAAAGATGTCATTCCACGCAGCACGAGCTAGACGCAGAACTCCCTCATCCAGGATATAGAAGTCCATGTGTGGTAGATTACTAATGCAGCGGTCTGGAGGCTGACCACAGCAGAGTCTCTCAATATCTGTAGGCATGTCTCTACAGTTTGAACACACACACCAGTGCATGCTGTCTGAATACACACTCAAAAGACACCGGCTGACTGTTGACTTTTGCGACAGTGCTGAGTTGCTTGTGGCCACTAGGGGCGCTAAACGTGAAAGTTGCAGGTCTAGCGCCCCTAGTGGCCAAGAGTTACACGGTGTGCCTTTAAAGGTCTAATCACATTTTTTAACATGGATTCTGAAGCATGTTTTTGATCACGTCGCTGATTTGATGCGCACATGTTTGTAATTGAAGAGAGGAGCAGGGGAAGTCTTAAAGATGGCTCACCAGTCACATGTGGACTGTCTATTTGTGTTCACAGATTAACCTTTGCTAATGCTGAGTGGCCTGAACAGGGAGATAGTGTTGAGGGAAGAGCATCTATTTACTACCAACACATTTCAAACACACTTTCATGATTCACTCAATTCGGCATTTTAAGGTTTAAGGTTATTTTGGCCCTGTTTATTTATCATGTGATTATTTGGAAGCATGTCTGATGAAGGGCCTAAGCCTGAAACGTCACTGTCGTGGTCTGTAAATAAAAGACACTTGGGAGCTACATATAGCTGTGTAGATATTTTCTTTTTTCATATTGTGTACCTTTTTTTAATAGTTTGCGCTTGTTCAGCCTACTAGGGTGTGTGATCTTGTTTAAAACTTTGTTTTTTTGGTTGCATCCATCAGGAAGGGACATCTTTAATTTCTCATTTTTCGAAAAGCCAGATGTTTTAGACCAGGGGTATCAAACTCATTTTGGTCCGGGGGCCAAATACAACCTGATTAGATCTCAACTGGGCCGGACCAGAAGATGCTCTACAAAAATACTACTAATACTCACTCAGTTTTAACGATAAATCTGGTACAAACTTAAATGTAACAGTGAGTTTTTCATAGTGCAAATAACAATTTACAATATTACATTGTAAATGGCATTTCACAATATTTATATTAATATTTGTATGTTAGCTTTGTTTTAAGGCTCATTACAGAGAAAACTTGATCACAAAGGTAAAGTAGGTAGATAGAAAAAAGCACTTTAACACAGCACCTCAGCTTAACCATCTTCAGTGTGGTAAGGTCCATGTATGTTATTGTCACATTAACCATCTTCAGTGTGGTAAGGTCCATGATTATGTTATTGTCAGAGAGAAAGCATCAAACTGACCATGATTCAGTTGAAATGAACAAAACACCTTCCATAACAGGATCCATTCTTAACGACTGCAGCAGTGTCTCTGTGTAAAATATAGTCAAATGTCCAAAACTCATCATCTCCATTTGCAACTTTGTCACAACACCTGCTTTTACCGTCGGTACCAGGCTGAGAGCGTAGGACCAGTCCACACTGTCCAACACACCAGCAACAGCAGCAGAACCAGCACCAACGCTCAAATCTCCTCTGTGATAGTCAAAGTTTCAGTAACACCACAAATGAACATGCGACATCAGTAACATCAGTCTCTTATCAATGGCAACATGACGTTGGTGACAGCGTGTGGTTTCTCAGGTCACAGTCTGCAGCCTGTATCTCTCTCACTGTGCGGCTGCGATGCTAATGCTATGTTGTTAGCACTCAGGTAGCTTCCCTTTACAGTAGTATCACTAACCTCTTGCTCTGGGCACAAACAGACTACTGTGTCCTCAGGGCCAGACACGTTTATCTCGTAGTTTAAGATGATATTCCTTCAGCACTGCCACTTGTTGCATGACACCAAGCATACCGGGGTTTCATTCTGCTCCGCGAACAAATAAGAAGTAGTCCACTTTCTTTTAGAAAAACCTGACACTCTATGTCCACTTTTCGCCTTTTTGACAAAGACATTTTGCTGAGGGTGTCACTGTCAGTCACAGAACACGCTCTGGTGGAGCCACTACAGACGCACTCGACGAGCGGTGCGGGGCGTTGCGGAGCCTCGCGGCGCGGCACAGATTTTTAAAATTATTATTATTGTTATCATTTTACATAAATGAGCGGCGGGCCGCATGAATGACACCCCTGTTTTAGATCTATACAAATACAGTTTCACGCCTTGAGCAAATTGTTTCAATATATATATTATTTCCCAATAGATATTTTTAACAAAATTACTTAGTTACCTGAATCGGAACAACAACAAAAAAATGCTGACAAATAATGGATCTTTTATTCTTAATTGTCGACCAATATGCCAAAGATTTGGTTTATATCTAATTACATGTTGGTTAAAGTGTTACAGATTAGATTGATCTGCATGGTCATAACCCACTGGGGCACAGGTCGTCTTGGTGGTGTTGGTGGGGGTTCATAAATAGTGTCCTATTTATGAACTGACTTTACCCGTTGTCCTTGCACAACAACACCAGAGAGAGGTGATGGCTATTTTGGCCCTTGTTCAAACACTTGGAAAAGTAAATTGTACTTGGAAAAAAGACCTGACCAATGAGCAGCAGGCAATTAGAGTTTAAAAGGAACAGGGGTGTATAGTACATTCATACTGTCTACTATACACCCCCTGTGTGGAGAATGTGTGGCCATAGATTTTTATAAACATAGATTCTGGTTCCTGCACATATCTCCTGCTACTTCTATATTCTGACCAAGACTCCAGGTTAAAGATGTGTGTGACCACAGATGAGACGTAGCATAAGAATGAACAGTGTGTTTTCCCCCTTTGAAACCCAAAATACTAAATTATACTTATAATCAATTAGTCAATTTGAAATGTACTTTGACATTTCAGAGTTGTGTTCAGGAGTTTAGATGGGCCATAAAGTGCCACATCACCTTGCCCTGACAGCCCCATTCCCTTTTCAGATCGGTGCTGTGTAATGACCCGGACATGTCGGATATCCCGGTGAACGTTCCCCTGGACACAGTGAAACTGCGTGTGGAGAAAACGGCTGTGCGCAAGATCCCCACAGAGGCCTTCTACTACCTTTCCGAGCTGCGCTTCCTGTGGGTTACGTACAACTCAGTGAGCACGGTGGATACAGGCGCCTTCTACAACCTCAAAGTCCTGCACGAGCTGCGGCTGGACGGGAACTCCATCGCCCTGTTCCCCTGGGAGGCTCTGCGGGAGATGCCAAGTCTGCGGACGCTCGACCTGCACAACAACAGGTAAATGACACTAGATCAGGGGTTGCGACTGGTTATACATTGTAGTCTCTCGGCGGGAGCAGTCTAAGCAGAGACAGCCAGAATTCCCTATTCTCATACACTTCCTCCAGCTCATACAGGGAAATACAGAGGAAAAACCAGACAACCTAAGAAACATAGTACCAACAAAATATCTTCCTCTAAGCCTCTTTCTAGTGACACAAGCCTGAAACACCTGGCATTCAGGAGGAATTTGAAATTAGGAAATACTCTGTGCTCCTCTCATGTGACTGAGCTCCTAACTCTAGCTCTATGGGAGAGCCCAGGCACTCTGCAGAGGAAGCGCATTTCAACCGTTCATATCTGCAATCTTCTCTATGACCATAGGTAAGGTGTTAATATGTAGATCAACCAGTAAATAAAGAGCTTTGCCAATACAGCAATCGCATCACTGCACACACTGCACCCATCTGTCGGTCAATCTCACGCTTCATCCTTCCCTCACTCGTGAATAAGACCTGAGATACTTGAACTCCTCCGCTTGAGGAAGGACCTCTTCACCCACCTGGGAGGGAATGGCACCTTTTTCCGGTCGAGCTCCATGGCCACAGATTTGGAGGTGCTGATTCTCATTCCAGCTGCTTCACACTGCAAACCGTTCCAGGGTATACTTAGGGTTCTGGTTTGTTGAAGTTAACAGGATAACATAACCCAAAAACAGCAGAGATGAAATCTCTTCCTCTTTCCCCTGGCTGCACCAAGAAATTCTGTTCCTACAAACAAAGCACACAAATTATATAACATAACGCCCGTCCTTTTTGCTCTGTGACAACAGCATATATTAGCTGCAATAAAAGCTTTTGCAATGGGTCTTTATCTGGCCCCGAGAACATGGTCGGTGGTGATTCTTTTAATCCTTTATATCTTATTTTAATTTTCAAATGGCAGCAAGTCCTAAGTAGCTCTGAAACAGTTGTTGTTTTGTGCTTTACAATTGTTTGATTTTATAGCTTCTTTCTACCTCTACAGTGTTCATGGTTTGCACTGGTCCAGACCGGAGCGGACAGGATTCATGGTCCTAACCAAGCAGATTAGGCGTCTAAAGTGCATTTAGCATCGCACTTTAGAGCAGAGCAGATAAAATTGTCCAAACCGGCCACTCCACCTCTGCTGCTGTGTTCTAAAGTGCTGTTGCACTTAAGAACACTACTGTTAAATAGTCCACTACCTACTCAGCTGATTACGTCCGGCAACCAAGGACGTAATCCTTGGTTGGTTGCATTAGGATGGGTCAAATGCAGAGTGAATTACCCTATGAGGATATACAAAGTGCACCTTTACATTTAAACTTTAAAGCCACCCTGTGTAAATGTTACAGTTGCTTCATATAAAAAAAACATGTTAACTAATAACAAATGTGACCTTTTTGAGAATATTTAGAACCACCATTTTTTGTAATTGTTTTCATAAGCTTAGAATTCAACTTGAGAGCAGAGATCTCTCCTTGTCAATACGCCATCTTGAAATACAGTTGTGGATAAGGGACAAAAAGGATGCAAGAATCGCGTTTTCGTTTCTACTGCTACTCATATAGTTTCTTTCACTGTGGCCTCACAAGTTTGAAGAAGGAACCATGGAGGACCACAATTATATTAAAAGAACGACCCAAACAACAATCTTAAAAAATAATTATGCAAAATTCCAACGTCATACAGCAAACTGTCAACATCGCAAACCACACGCACAGAAAGGCAGGGTTAAAACAACAGGAGGCACATTGAATAGTTTGTACACAGCAGACTCACCCGTGAACAATGCGTAACTTTTTTCACACAGACAATAATGAGAATGAGACGGAATCTGCAACGCCGTCTCAGGATGTTCTGACCCGATCCGAGTGCAGTCCAACTACTGTCACAAGTTTCAAATAAACGTATTCAGGGACAAGCCTCTAATAAAAACACACAGAATCCCCCAAAAAACAATCGCCAGAATACTTAAACAGCAGCATGAGTAAATGTTCTTTTTTCTTACCGCGATGCAGATAAGGCGCTGTGGCTAACGCTAATAATAACATGAGCTTTTAGTCATGTCCTGCCGCGGCGGTGTACTGTATATGTCTTGCTTCTCTGATCTCAGCTCTGGCTTTCTCTAATGACCTCCTCATCCACAGGCTCACAGTGGTCCCTCCGGAGGCTGTCTCATACCTGGTGAACATCACGTACTTGGATCTGTCCAGTAACAAGCTGAGCACTCTGCCCTCAGACCTCATGAACCTCTGGCCTCCGTTCAACAAGGCCCCGCTGTCCAACACCTCACAGAAGGTGGTCCTCGGTGAGTGCAAAGCTTCCACAGACACTACTGTATATACACCATGTATATACACCAACTCCAAAAATTTATGAATGCTTAGAGGGTTCTACATTTGTGATATATTTATATATATATATAAACACATATATATACACATGTTGGCATGCTGATGTTGTCCTCTTTTGTTAAGTTCAATAAAACAAGATACAGTGATATTTCTGTCGTATTGATGATTTTTTTGTGATAATATCGCCTATTTTTAAATTAATTTTAAATTTAATGGGCCAAATCATGCCATCAATTAGTGACCCCATTTTTCCATCCACAAGACAACGAAGAAATGGCCACACACATGGGTCCAACCCTGTCCCCCCTCCAGTCCGTTGCGTCTCCCAACAGAATTTTGCCATGTTTGTTTTTGTTTCACATTTAACGTCAAACCATTTCTTCTTTACCCCCTCTATTGTGCATCCCTCTCCTGACACTGCATCCACTGCACGCCAAACTGCCTCCCAGGCCTGCTTTTTATTTGTGTTGGTGCAACCTGCACTACGGCTGCTAAATAGGATTTTATTCCTTGTGATCTCCTGCAGTAGAACTTCGAGTTCTGAACTGATAAAAAATTACTTTTTACCTTCACTCCAAAGGATTTACTCTTTACTCTAGGCATGTGGCTGTTTCCTATGGGTGGCGTCTGTACTGGGTCCTGCAGTCCCTTCTATGTGCATTATTGGGCGGTTACCTATGCAATTCACCTAGGCTAATGACTCACCTGGCACGTGTGCTCACTTTTCGAGGAGATGGCATTCATCAATCTAAGAGAACAGCTAAGAACAATTCAGCGTCTTAAGAACGTGTTGATGAATCCAATGTAGGGCATTCTTAGAAATCTTCTTCAGAACAACTTAACAAGAAATTTAAGAAGATTCTTAAAAGATATTGGTGGTTGAGTCCAAATGTCCGTACTTACAACGTGTTCTTTGAAAGTGCCATATTTAACTGCTGCATGTTTTGGGCCAATCCACATCATGGATCAAAGCAAATTTGAAGCTATCTGTTAAAAATGTGATGCTATATACTGACAACGTATGCTTTCTGCTCATTTTTTAGTGTGAATATATTGGCTAATCAACAGCTAAACATATTGGTATAGCAAAGCAAAATAACTTATAAGGTGCAAGTATGAGGGTAACGTGGGAAATTGTGTCCAAATGTTGGATTTTCCACTTGCATTGTCATCTTTGTGTTGTCATACTAAGTTTAGTAGAACGCTAGCGTTATCCGTTTTTGTCTCTGCAAGAGAAGCTAGCTGTTAATTGCCTAGCCAGGCTAACTCCGCTCGATAAACGCACATAACAATCAATCAACACATTTAAATGTTATTTGGTTAATACATTGTATACTGTACATGCATTCTTAATACCCATGCACAGTGGTTTTCAGAATTGTATTATAGTTTTCGTGATAGAAATACTGTTTTAATGCAACTTAAAAAATGAGATGTATTTGCAGGGGATCTGATTATCGATTTAGGTTAAGTATGGGTCACTCACCGCTGATGTTCAGAATTCTTTGTCCAGTTTTCATGTAGTTTGAGAGAGTTAGCCTAACTGTTGCTTGCATAGCCACGGCACGGCAAGATCACATGCTCATAGCAATGGAAGACAGAATTAGTATAAATCCAAGATTTCCATTATTAACCAACCAACAAGTGGCTGACGAGTTAGCCAAAGTAGACGCATTTGTCAGTAAAATATGCACAGGACTCAATTGGATAACGTATCCAGTGTTCTGTCGGGTGCAAACACAGACACGTTTCAAAAGATTATGTGCCTGCCTCATGCAGCAGCTGCTGTTAGGCCAGAATACAGGGTTTCAAGGGATATTTGACAGATGCTTCAATTCAGTTACATTCAGTTCAATGAATATTTGTATAGCCCTAGATCATAACAACAGTCGTCTTGGAGAACTTTACAAAGTTTTTCATATGCTAACAACAAATCAGAGAATAGATAGATACTTTATTGATCCCCGTAGGAGAAATTCAGGTGTCCAGCAGCAGAAGACACCTGAATTTCTGTAGTACAGTCCAACAGCCGAGGGAACAAAGGATTTCTTAAATCCTTCCGTTCGGCAGCGCATTGAAATAAGCCTGTTGATACAGTTATTCCTAGAGCAGCCATTGTGTCATGCAGAGGGTGTCTGGAGTTACCCATGATGCCCTGCATTAGAGCTCTCATCCTTCTCTCCAGCACAGCTCCCACAGAGTCCACACTTCTCCCCATCACAGAAACACATTTCCTGATCAGCATGTCGAGCCGGTTACTGTCTCTCGAGGTCAGACTGCCACCCCAACACACAACCCCAAAGAACACGGCACTAGCTACAACTGACTTAGTCTGGTCGTACCACACCGTAGTACAAATTACATTTCATACTAAGGTCTGGAGGTGATCCATTGAGCTCCGTTAACTGGTGGGGTAAACTCCTTTTTCAGATTGAAACGATTGGATCTGAGTTTACCGTGACATGTGATGCGCCTGAGTGATTCGTTTGCATTTATCATTTAGCCTGACCATCTCCTTTTACGCTAACGGAGCCCGTGTGGAGTAGCGCCACAATCTTTGCCAGCAATATCTTTTGCTAAACATTCCTCTTGCTCCGGCTTCAATTTCTTGATAGAATCAGACCGGAATTTTTTACTCTCGCTTTCTTCGCCATTCCCAAAGTACAACCAGCCCGTTCGGCGCAAACTCTTGCCACATCTAACGACAACACCCGCCTCCTGCGCTGGCTGATTGGTCGGGTGGAATTCAATCGATGTACAGTAATCGCAAACAGAGGGACCAGACCCACACGTTACATGCAGGAAAATGATGATTGACTGGAGGGACAGGAGGGTGCTAGTCAAAGTCACCTCCATCATGGACAATACCTCCCACCCACTGCACAGGACTGTAAAGGAGCTGAGGAGCTCTCTCAGTGGAAGACTGAAACACCCTCGGTGAAAGAAGGAGCGCTACCGCAGGGCCTTATCCCCACAATAACTCACTTTAAGTCGCTTTCACTAGGACTGAAAAAAAAAAAAAAACTTGCACTACTATTGCCACTGTTTCTTAATTGCCACTTTTATTGTACATAATAGATCCTGCATTTAACATGTTTGCACACTATTTTCTTTGCACAACATTTTTTTCTTCTCGAGTGATTCTACCCAAATAAATTTCTCCTGTTTGAGATCAATAAAGTCTATCTTATCTTATCTTATCTTAAAAGTAATGTTTCAGTCTGAAGTGTGTGTGTGTGTGCATGTGGGTGCATGGGGATGTTTATCTGATGGATGAATTTACTCTGGATACTCACTTTTAACTAGAAACACCACAGGTAGAGTAATAAGGAACTCAGTCATTCTGACTGTGGTCTCTGTGCATAGTCTATGTAAACATCCGCCGCAGTGTGGTGCTCGCGGCAGATAGGCCAGAGGGGACTTAGAGGTGTAAGACCAACTTCTAATCTGTTTAGAAGCTTAAAGATAAGTCACGTGCTTATCCATGGTTGAACACACAGGATGTAATCAAAAAGTACCACGCACACTTTTTATTTGAATACAGTAAACTGCCCATTCTATAATCCTTTATATACAGACAATTGATCTTTTCATGTGAGCACTATACTTTCATTTGGTTATTACTGATGACACCACATTGTGTTACCAGGCCTAGAATAATACTAATTTTTTATTTTAATAATAAATCCATTATTATTCTGACCCAGAAATTAATCAATTTCTGGGTCAGAGGGGTGGCAGTCAGAGCTGCACCCAGCACACAGAGCACCAGCCCCTCACTGATCCTCCTGCAGGTGTTGCAGGAGCCTTGAAGAAGAGCAATTTAGATTTTAATGATTTTAACAACTACAGACCGGTATCCAACTCAGCATTTTTAAGACAAAATTTAGAAAAACTTGTTTTTACCCAGCTCAATGCCTTTTTAGATCAGAAACATATTTTAGAGAAATTTCAATTAGGGTGAACCACAGCACAGAGACTGCTCTTTTAAAGATTTTAAATGATTTTAGACTAAGTTATGATTCTAAAAAGATGTTGGTTCTACTGGATATAAGCGCTGCTTTTGCTACAGTAGACCACAACATTCTTTTATCATGCCTAAAACACCTTGGCCTCTCTGGTGCTGTCCACAAGTGGTTCACCTCCTATTTAACAGAGAGATCTCTGGTCCTCCCAGTTCTGCGCAGTGGATTAGCGCAACGTGCGTGTTTGGCTTTCAAGCACGCGCACAGAGGGGCTCGGCCGCGCTCTGACCAATCAGAGCTGCTCATCAGAGCAGCGGAAGAGCGGAGCCAGAGCGAGAAGACAGGGAGCAGAGTTTGTGGCAGTTAAGTGTGGATTTAAAGAAAACCGAAGGATTTAAGAAGAAAAAAAGTTTAGGATGACAAGGGACACTAAAATCCCCACAAAATCCGATCTTTATGAAAACTGTAGGTTCTCTGTCAGCTGAGGTCGTGCTGTTTTAATATACATTGAGTTCTATAGGACTTTTTTCTGAGTAGCCCACGTGAATTTAGTCTGCAGTACCACGGGCGCCCCCTGTGCCCGTGGGTGGGACAGCTATAAGCTAGTAATACCCTATACAGTTATTATTATAGATCCATGTTTTATGTTTTCCATGGAGACGATGATGCTTTTATCACCAGTCGCATTGACTACTGTAATGCCCTCCACTCTGGTCTTCCCAAAAAGAACATTTCAGGTTTACAATTACTCCAAACTCGGCCGCACGTGTCCAGGGGGCGGGACCACATTACACCGGTTTTAAAATCGCTGCATTGGCTCCCCGTGTGCTTCAGGATCGATTTGAATGTTCTTTTAATGGTTTTTAAATGTCTTAATGATCTTGGGCCTTCTTATCTTTCAGAACTGCTTTTATCCTATGAACCTTCCCGGCCCCTGTGCTCCTCCGGCAGCAGACTCCTAACCATTCCCAAAGTCAGGACAAACACTC